ATGCGCAATCGGAGCTCCTACAAGGGTTCAATATTTGATCTGCGAGAAGCAGCTTATAATTAGTATCTTCATATTTATATTTTATTTATATTTATATTTTAGTATCTTCATATGTATATTTCAATTTTACATGTAGGATAAAATAACATACGCTAATATCGTGTGATCAATAAGCTTCTAATAGTCGTTTAACCAATCTAGTTTCTCAGATATGAGTTTCAACTTTTCACGAAGAGAACTTTCGCGAGTCTCTAAAATAATATGGGCATTATGACACGATTCGACAGTCGTGTTTGCGACGACGGACGTGAATCATTCGACGGGATACCCTCGCGAAATTTGATTTTCTCCTTCGACAAATTTTTTTCACGTGGCGCATAAAACGTCGGCGGTCTCGGCGTCGGAAGTGACACCTCTCCTCCGGCTTCTCAATGGAAATCTCACCGCAGTCGCGCGAAGAAACGAGCGATTTACTATCGATAAACGCGACTAAAGCCACGGAAGAGGATGGAAGTCTTCGAACGCAAGCGAGTCCCGCGACTTCTCTGTCGATTTCCGGGACACGCCGCGACTCCCATGTGGATCGGACGCATCGTCGCGGAAAGTATAACTCGTTGTCGAACGTCCGTCCGGAAGATCGACAGGTAGCGCGTCTCCTCCGCTTCCTCCGCTTCGTGTTCATCGCCCCTTCGTCGAGCGTGAAGATGTTACATCGTCTCGGGACCGTCGAGGGTGGGTTTTCGCAATGGCAGGCGAGTGAATTGTCTCGGCGCCTCGGGACTTTCCCTGAACGGAGCATAATTGTGTTTTTCGAGCATAACGCGTTTAACGATCGATACTATTAAGTGGAATCGTTGCGAGCCTCCGTGCAGCTCCATCGAATATCTTTCTCGTCTGTTGTAAAATTAATCGTGCGATTGAAAATAGACAGAGAGAGAGAGAGAGAGAGAGAGAGAAAGAAAGAAGTACCGTGAGTTGTGCAATTTACGATCGTTTGAAAAATAGCAAGAGTTGAATAAGTGATGCGACGCCTATAAATATATCGCCTATCGTGTATCGCATATCGATCATATCGCGCCGATATCCACATTTCTGCCCCTGACATTTAAAACTATACACACAGAATTGAACACCAAGTTTAATTACGAATTTTACCGAGGAGATTAGGGGGATAACGAATTTAATTACAGCTTTAATTACTTAATCCTTTGAAATTTGCCCGTTTCGCAAGGAAGCCATGTGCCTGAACGCTCGACTCCTCCCGTGCACTACTGGTTTCCTTAGGAATTCATACCGTTAGAAGCGTTACTTCACGTACAAACTTAGTTCCGAGGTCCTGTAATCTTCTGAAATTTAATCCCTTATGCTTCGAAGTTTGTTTTTTTCTTTTTTGCTTTTTAGATTGATCGCAATGTTCTCTTTCCAATGCTTCGCAATGCTTTCTTTTCTCTCTCTTTTTTTATTGATAAGATGCAGTATGTACAGAAAGGAAAAGCAAAAAAGCGAGCTCGTCGTTATTTATTGTTTTTTCGTGAATTTGTTGTCCGCAAAAAGAAGTAGTTTGTAGCGGCACAAGAGTAAACCGACGATCTAATTACACTTGATGATTTTGGTTCCTGCGCTTTCCCGCCTAAACGCTTTGACATTTTACGCAATTAGCGAACCCACGGAAACTAACACACTTCAAAGGGCCTTTTTTCGGCGAAAAAGGACACAGGAAGGACGCGCAGGAAGGGAACGGCTCGTCCGGAAAATAACGTATCCTTCCCATTTGGCTGAATAATTGGGTCCCGCACTTTCTCGGCGTAGTCGTTCCCATCCTTTCTGCTTCCCTTCCACCCTCTATCTTTCTCTCTCTCTCTCTTCCTTTCTCTCTTCCCTGTTCATCTCCGCTCTCACCAACCTCGCTTGAAGGACTCTCACTTTAATGCACTTATTGTTAATGCGATTCCGCCGGGTTTTCCGCCTGATGGTTACCTACCTTTCGTTGACAACGCAACATCGTTTACCCCGTCGCTGCAGCGACGTACGTCTACGTGCCTTTTCCACCTCTATCCATTCCCGCCCGCGCTACGCACTACAGAAAAATTGAGTTTAGTACGCTGAGAGCCGGAGTATTCGCGAAAAAAAAAATTCCGAAAACGAGAGGAACTCTCCCGGCTATGCTTAAATTTCCGATTTCTGCGCAGTGTACTTCCTAATCTCATCAATCTGTAAGCCTCGTGTCCGCCGAATTCGAGAGAACAAAACGTAACGGTGAAGGGGATGAGGGTCATCGTTAGTAAAAATCATTATGCTGTACGCGCGACACGACCGACGATTGCCAATAACCGAAGGGTGAGGGGAGAGATAGGTTAGCCCAGAGGACAAAGGATCTCTTGTCGAAGTGAAATAACAACGGCCAAGGTTTCCGCCGGCCATTTATTTTCCATTTTACAGCCGGTCGCGCGGCGGTAAACGCGCGTGCCTGCGAAATCCGAACCGCATAAAAGCACTCCATTCAGTCTGTAATGCGCTGTCATGGTCCACGCTGCCGCGGATTCGGCTTTTTTTCGGCGGAACTTGGGCGGATAGCGCACGGCGGTGTTAAAAAGAGGAGAGGGTGGGAAAGCAGAGAAAAAAAGAGAAAATAGAGAGGGCACCGATAGAGGTGTAAAATATGTAGCGGCCACCTCGCCGGGACGGAAACGTATAAAACGGCCGACGGGATCCGATGTAAAATCGACTCCCGCTTAATGACAGATAATGCGGGTATTATACGAAACGAACGATGTTCGCCATCGATCCCGATCTGCTCTCGCGCGTGATTGCGTTAATCGGCTTAACGGCCGCGCGCACGCTGGCCAAACAAATTGTCCGTGAGCGACGTTTCGTCGTACACCCTGTACATAGCCGTGTATGTCCCGACACGACGTCACCGCGGTACCGACGCGGCTGAAGAGAGAGGATTGGGGGGCCCCTGTGTAACCGGCGCGAGCTCGTGTGCGCGGCGGTTTTGCCTGTGATACATCTCAATTGTGCACTTTCCATCTAGATTTATACTGGATTCATGCGTTTTTTTAATCGGCCGCGCACGTGTTCCTCGTCGCTTGCGGTCGATCTTTTAATTGACGTGTCCGGCGATATTTTTCATCGATCAGTTGGCCCCGTCGATCGATCTCCCCCCCGCGTTTCTCGCCAGCGCATAATAATCGGTCTATTTAGCCGCTGTCCCCTCGTACATAATTTAGCTCGCGCGAATTGTCGGCGGAAAACTCGCCGCACACACCGCATAAACGCCTACATAAATCCGCGACACGGGTCTGTTTTGTTCGCGAGTGATCATCACAAATTGATCCCGCATTCTATTTTGTCATCTATTTTATCAAGCCGTTATTCAATCCCGGCGTAGAGACCGCTAGGGGTATTTCGGTAAATTGGAAGAGTAGCAAGAATAGTAGGTCGGCCCTTCGCTCGCGTAACGAATACAAAATCGAACGCGGGAAGATGGTGGAGATATTTTCGGTGTTGACGGCCGGCAATATGGTTTCGGAGCTGATGGACAGGGTCCAGCGATGCATATAGTAGGCGGTAGCGTGAATTCTGGTCGTGGCTTGCATACCTATAAACAACATCCTGATATTACCGGCAAAAATGTTATCATCCTTTTGTACATAACGCGCCTCTTTTCATATCAGTAATCACACGATAAAACATATCTTTTCGGTACTATTGGAATATCTGTATTGATTTCACGTGTTCACTCGCTCATTTCATATCTCTTTTACTTGAACACTGATGTTTGAAATACCAGTGGTGGGCACGAAGATGGGCAACGGCAGTATAAAGGTAGCCTCGGCTCGGGCGGCAAACAGCCGTCGCTTGGACAATAAAAAGGAGCCGGTCTACGGTGATAACACGGTGGCGGCAGAGAACTTCCTCGCTTCTGCTCTTTCCGGTCAATATGGCAGGACATTCTTCTTCTCGCCGGAAGATAAACTAGCGCGGACGAAATTTCTGAGGGATATCGCGAGGGCGCTTTTATATATGCGTTGCATTTACCAGAATTTTTAGATACGCAATGAGTCCATATTTACTTTCGTTTCGTCTTTTGTCTGAAAAAAAGTTGATGTTCACTCGTATTTTTTCTGCATACATAGGGTCTCTCAGAATAATCCACTTGTGGCCTTGTTGAAATAACTTTCAGACTTTGTTGATCTTGCAGCTGTTATTAATTATTGATTCATGTTCCTATGTGTAATTATCATGACGTTCAATAACTGGTCTTCCTGTGCAATCGAACCACCTGAGACCACAAGTTATTTTCCTCGACGAGTTTTGGGGCGGAGGGCAACGTGGTACGACGGGGTAATAGCAGGGTGCATAAGTAGCTCTATGACAAATGGATAATATCGACGTTTTCGTGAATCTTTCAAGTGCTCCTTTATTTTCCTCCAATTTAGTTTCGAATATTATCGAATTGCTTGCGAAGCAAAATGATCGAAAATTTGACGCAGTTTCAAATCAACCGCTTTATGCGAAATATGCAAAAGCTATCATTGAGTAACGTACCTGTTGCAAGTATATATAAGTTGAAATTGAACAGGAGATTGATAGGAGTGTGATGACATATCAAATGAATATTTGGGGCACGCATAGTCGACGCAAGTCGATCTTGGAGAGCAACGCGATGGAACGCTAGGTGGATATACTGCAAGAGCGTCCTCGAGACTCGACATATTAATCGTGTACTATTAATTTAAATACTATTAATTTAAATTAAACTAATCTAAATGTGAAAATGTAAAATTATGTCGCAGCTCATGTTTTTATATTGCCGTGAATTTGCCGACGGAAATCGCGATCGTGTATCGCGCATATCGCTATGAAAATTAACATATTTTGAAAACTTCAGGGAAGATCCTTTTCGAAAATGCTCGATGGCATAATAATTCCAACAAATATGCAAAGAAGGAAGGACATCGGTTGGGAAGTTAACGGTGAAAGAAATGAGAGACGTATTCGTAATCACAACAGATATTATATAATAAACCGTATCTTTACAGTGGCAGATACAATGTAAAATGAACAAGGATACCTTTACGAAATATACACGCATTGAGTCGTACGTTGATCCAGGAATCGACCGGCGACACTATGTACAACACAACCACGGAAGCGTGCGCGATGTACTACCGTCCAATTGGCAGGCAACGCGGTTGCACTTTTGAATTTGGCACGCGGTGCACCTATTCGCTTATAATTCTTGTCCCGGCATCTCTCTTCTCTCTCCCTCCCTTGCTCTCTTTTTCTACCTATTTATCTATCTCTGGTTGCGTATATATGTGTACACGTACACCTGTCGCGTGTTGAGCGTGTGTCTGTGTGCCACTGTGTTATTCGTTTCCTCCATAAATGCACTTGCCTGTTTCAGTCGGTACGAGACACCGGAACACGTCTCGGCTGATTTCCGCGCTTTTTTTCGGAAAGAGGGGAAAGGCGACAGCTAATTCAACTAAAACCCGATCAAAAATTACAAAAGACACCGGATAAGTTACGCACACCGTACATCTACAAGCAGGGATCAGCCGAGACGTCGTTATCGCTTCTCCTCGATCCTAGTCAAATGAACAATGTATATAGTTAGCGTACATTGACCGAGAGTAAAGTGTAAAAGAAATAAAAGGAAACAATATGTATCTAAACAATAATAATGTTATAACGAGTCGCTACATTATGTACACGTTCTCCCTTCCCGCGTTTCTCCGAAGAAACGGAAGAAATGTCAGTCCGCAAGAATGAAAACGAGAAGAAATGAAATGAGACGGATAGAGTAGAAGACATCGACGACGTGCGTCGAACAGCGACAATTTCGCTAACAACGACCTACGTGTGTTAATAGTTTTTTCTTTTTTTCTTTTTTAAGTACATCGATTAACCGTTTTCATAAGTACCACGATAAGTACCTAGCGATTGCTCCATGTGCTGCTTTGCGGTGTTACTTGGCCCTCTCGTTTGGAAACTTTGTTTATCTCTCTTTCTCCTCCTCCTTCTCTCTCTCTCTCTCTCTCTTTCTTTTTTGTTACCTTTTGATTTTCGGGACGGACGGAAGGTGACTGGAAAAACCAAGTCCATTTTCGCCGTACGACCAGCAACAACGCCTCGGCGCTTCCCTCCGTTAACAACCGTTTATCCGCGATTAAGCTCGTCCGAAACAATAATACATGCGAACGACTCGTCCCATAACGAAGAATACCAGCGCACATACGTTCTCCGTTTAACGCGACAAAATGAACGACGTATAGGATATTGTTGAAGAGCAGAGTCGCAGGATTCGATTAACGAGTCTCGCGAATCTCGCACAGGAAACATCACATGAACGTTCATTCGCGTAATACACACGTGTCATATGCGTACAAACGTAATCGAAATGGAAGAAGTCCGAATAAGCACCGGCAGTTTGACGGAAATAATCATAGAACTGCGTCCGGGAAGGAACCCCTTCGCGTTGTCGCTGAGTCACCGGCTTAATATACGACTTCCAAACGTTCTCTCACGTTTTTCATCATAGTCCTCTTACTTTTGTTTTTATGTCTCTCGTTACGATTTAAATAACTATTCTATGTACAATGCATACACACACGTCTCGGTCACTTGCCTCGTGATATACCGCTCTTGGCCTTTCTCGACGTTTTACCCTCGATCCGTTTCGAAAAACCGAAAGTGCGGCCGCTAGCCTGAAAGACAGAAAGCTGCAAGGCTGCAATACTGATATCTCGCCGGACACTATCAATTACTACGTGGAACTGAGGAGACCCCTCCCTGCTCGTCTCGCTACGACGTACATCGTCGACCTCGTAATCGGCGCGATCGCATCGTCAGGTGATACGGACTCGCGCGCGTATGCATGCGTGGATCGACTCGGCTCGGCGAATGCAACTTTCGCGGTTGCAAAAGCGGAAGCACCGCGTCCCGACCCTCCTCGGAAATCGCTCCGCGAGTGTCGTCCTCGTCGTGTGAGGTTACGCGTCACTGTCGCCGTACCTTCCTCCCGCGGTCCTCGGTCCACTTGCGATAAATGCAGCTCGATCATGTGTATAATAGACAACGATAGTGTAAGGGACGTACTCCGCCCCCGCTATTCTTCAAAACAGCTAATCTTTATTTAAATAATCTATGGGTGTTTTTCTCTCTCTTTCTTTCTTTCTTTCTCTCTATGTCCCTTCCTTTTTCTCTGTCTGCCGGCTACGGGACGATAGTCTGTGGTACCCCGAGCTCGCGGTCGCTCGTTCTCCGCTATCACGTGGCGCGACAACCTTTGAGCAAGTCTCTCGATACTCCCGATATTCCGCGTTTCGACCCCGTTAAGTTCGCGCGTTTAAGTACTGGCCACTTCACGTCAATATATATCACAGTTTCTTGCGGATGTTAACCCCCTTGCGTTTAATCGCGTCACGGTTTCGACGAAACCGAGCGTCCGCTTGTATGTGCTCGCCTGAGTCGGGTAAGCCCGCCGGAAAATGCAAGTCCCCTCCCCCCTCCCCCCGTGAAGAGAAGGTACGACTGTCCGCACTTCGTGACCCACGTCGTAGTGTACACGACCACGAAGCAACTACGCTACATACTTTATTTGTTAATCTATAATTTTTCTCTTTGTTTCTCTTCCTTTTTTGTCTGGAAAAAGAAGGGTAAGGGTGCAGTGCGTAATCTTGGGGTGCGTACAATTTCGTTTCTCATGCAAAACGACGATAACCGCTCGGCTTGAGCCTAACTCTACTCAATCAAGATTACTAGGATATCCAATTACGGTATCGCGTCACAGACATTTAAGTATAACTATCGATACGCGTATACCGCGATATTCTATTGCTTCTTGTTCCTCGACAGACGTGGAGTAGCCTGTTATTATTATTATAGTGTGTGGTGCGTGAAACTTTATGTCCCTCCCCGCCACGTTCGCCTACGCGCGTTTACGTGTGTCTCTCGTTTCTTCTTCTTCCTTCTCCCCTTGTTGTTCTTTCTTGTCTATTTTGTTCTAACTGAGGTCATTTAAGGCTGCGTGTGCGCGTATACGTATTTATCTATATAAAGTATTCTCACGAATACTCGTTCTATGCTGTGGTTCGCTGCTATCGTCGTTGCTACTAGAACGCCGATTCGACGAGAAGATTCGTTTGTCGCGCTCCTTCGGCCCTGCTTTCTTCGTCGAGTTCTCGCTCGTGGTCGGGATCAGGCTACTCAACCGGAAGCGTGATCGCGGCGGCAGCGACGTCGTCGTGCACGATCGAAACGATAGTGCTCGCGACTGGGTCGAGGACACGCGGCTCACGTGTAATACTTTCGATCGTGTGCGAGGTCAAAGCGCGAGCGGACGTGTAGCCGTCACTATGTGTTTGAACGGAAATACTTGACGACGTTATTGATGAACTCCTGACGCTACAACTGCACTTGGAACGCCTGGGTCGCGTTCGGCATGATGAAGGGATTCGTCGTGCTGGATTGCCGCAGGTTTCTCGCGGCGATCTCCGCCCATTCGACGTCGAAAGGATCGGAGGGTCCTCCTCTGGAAGTCTGGCTCATCGCAGCCGATCCGAGCGAGTGCGCCCTCGCGTGTAGAAGAGGCGCTCGTCGAGGACTAACTGGTACATGGGGTACCGGCGACGGCACGGAGCCGGTTATACTGCCCAACCATTGTTCTGGTTTCGGCAAACCAGCTGGCGTGGAAAGCGGTTGTACCTGTTGGACGGAGAAACTCGTGAGAAATCGTTCGCGTCTGGTGTCCCTTAAATCACGTCGGTCGGAAAAGAGCAGGTGAAAACTGATCGGGGTGACAGAAACGTGCGAGTTGAAGATTCCCCGTTAGAAATTGAAGTTAAAACATTTATTCTCAGAGGTCATATGAGAGACTGTACAAAGATTGCTTAAATTTTCCATTTCAACGTCTCAAAGTCTCCTTGCCGCGGTCTTGATTTATAACGCCAGAAGAGTGAGGAAATTATCACGAAGAGTCAAAATAAAAAGTGACATCGAAAAAATGACAATTGCAATCGATTAAGCACACTTCTAAAATAAACGCTTTCCTTTTGCTCTAATATTCAATAAATAACTGTATAATTGACATGATAAAATAATGAAGAAATATCAGTTAAAAACGAAAGTTGCATGTTGCATTTATTTTACGATTATTTATTTATTGTTCAAGCAAAAGGAAAGTGTTCGGACTACTTCACGAATCTGCTTAATTGATTGCAAGTGTCATTTTATGGATACATCTTTTTATTTCAATGAGAAATTTTGCAAGAATTTCTTGCGTATATTTTCTCTCTTCTAACGTCATCAATTACGAATTCCGTGACTAGTAGTCTCTCAAAAGCCTTCAGAGTATATTTATCTCCTCGTAAAAATTCAAGCATTACCTACAAAATAGTAGCTAAAAAGTAATTGAAAAATAAAACGCAAAAATAAAATTTCTAATCGTATAAGCTTAAAGAATTTTAACGCTCACATCGAGGTCATGTGAGTAAATTCGGCTTACCAGAGCTGTTGGAATACCGGTTGCCGACGAGACTTGAGCGACTTCAGTCGAGACGGACAGCGCCGGGGAAACAGACGCCATATTGGCACTGGGCGAACTCGTTTTCGGCGTCATCGCCGAATTGATCGGGATCGGCGATCTGTTCACGCTCGGTGTAGACGTGTTTCCTAAAGAGGAAACCGTAGAAGTCGTACTGAAAGCCGGACTCGCCGACGGTGGTGTGCCGAAAGCACCTACACTGGAGGCAGGTGCCGGTGTGCTCATAACGACTGGAGTGGGCGCGTTCGTCCTTGGAAGAACGGGACTCAGGTTGCTCGCCTTAAGGATAGGCGTGAGCCTGTGGTTCGACGCAAGAACGGGGGACGAGTCCTGCCAGCTGGGCCCGACGTGATTCAGGTTACTGAGATCGTCGTTCTTGTCGTTGTTGTTATTGTTATTAACGGTGGGACCATTCTGCAGCTTCATCTCGTCCAACGAGCTACTACTCGTTACTGTGAAAACATAACTTTGTCAGAATCTCAACACGTGATTCCTCGTCAGCTAATAAATCGTCGTAAAGCTGATAGCGAAGTCGGTAATTTTCGCGAAAGTCGTTTCGAAGTTGTTTCCAAGTCCCGTACCTGGAGGAGAGCTGGCGGTACTGGCGTTGAAGAGTTGCTTGGCGACCGAACTTGCGGTGGTAGCCTGAGACGGCATTGGTCCGAAGTCGTCGGTTCTCGATAGCAGAGAAAGCCCCCGAGAAAGCTGCTGACACATCGCGGATACGCTATCCTGACCGCCGGGAGATATTTCCGGTATCGGGCTCACTGCGAGAAAAGGAATCGCTTTTAACGATATGTTCGACGGATTCAACGATATTGCAACGAGATGCTGGAATCTAGGCATGCTAAACGCATTGATATTGTGTTGGGATGAGTATAGAGTAAGAAAATGGAAGGCACATTAAGAATGGAGCACTAAATGTTTGTTTCAAGCACGAGCAGAATCGTAGGGTCGAACCGGAGTCTGTTAAATGAAGGTAAATTCTAGCTACACGCTCGCAGTGTGTCGTGGAACCAGTTCGTGTCTGTCAAACGCAACCACATACGGAGTAACCGTGTATATATAGAAAATGAACACGTTTAAAGGAACACTGAGCAAGCAAAAATGGGATTAACGGAATAAGGAGTAATGACCTTCGTCATATCCTTCGAACTCTATTGTGAAACCAGAGAGAGAAACACATCGTTATTCAGATTGATCAGGTTGATTTAAATTAGTAGCACAATCTCACATCTTATGTACTTGTGCGTTTCGCGTTGAAACTTAACATACTCGCTTACACAGTTCTTTACACACGACAATAGTTGTCTGACAAAAATATTAGAGGAGACGAGAATGTCTCCTCGCAGAGCCGTGAAAACTCACCCGGTGGCTTGAGAGATACAATGTGCGAGAGAGCTGGGGGCATCCGCGATAAATCCGTCGGTTCCAGACTGTGACTACGTGTGCGTTCAAGATTACTAGGAAGATCGTTGACTCGTAGGCTGAGTTGCCTTTTGAACGGAGACGCCTGGTTTAGCTGCGTGAAACACCTAAAGGAACCCTGTCGCTCCAACATTGACGGGGTGGCGTGTGGCCTCTCGATCGCGAAGGGATTGTACACCTGCTTGACCGGAGGAACGTCTGAAACAAGAGATGTTTGCTGATGTGAGGAGAATAACCAAGATATAAAAATGGATCATATTCGGTGGAAAATGGCACTCACCGACTGCACGATCGCGCGATTCCTGCAACCGCTCGGTGAGGCTCGGTTGCCTGAAGCTGCCGCTTCTCGTGAAGGTAGAAGTCTTCGAGTCGAAAGTCATCGTAACTCCGCACTCCTTATCCCGTCGTTGCTTCCTCTCGAGACACGCGGCGAAGGCGCAACCCACTGCGTGACTTAATCTTTCCCCCTTGGCGATAAAAAATTGTTCCGTTAAAAAAGGCAGTCATATTTTTATCATCCGTGCGAGAGTCCCCCGAAATGTGACACGAATAGTTTCCATTTTATTTCTATTTGAAATGAAAAAACGTGTCATATCATGCACAAAATATAGACGGTATTTGGATGAAAAATATATATGTAGATATATGAAGGGAATTGCAGCATGTAGCATTTGTAGTAGAATTTTATATGTTTTCATAAAAATTGTACGAAGCGTGTTAAATTTGAAATATGTATTTAACATTTAGCTCTTGCATATTGCAAATTCAGAAACATTCATTTGTCGTACCATCCGATGTTACATTACACTCTCGATGCCAGTGCATCGGCGTTTGTACGAGAACACAAACTCATCCCTTACCGGCGGAGCGAAAAAAGTATCTCTTATATACACATACATATCGCTCAATAATTCCCCGTTCCGAGAGATAAACGAAGAGGTATCTGACTTACCGATTCTTTCAACGCTAAAAATCCATGACACATCCATCGTCTCGTCGTGCCGTCCCTGCAGATATAACTAAATCCCTTATCGTGATTTCTGTCGGGCGCACAGAACGATACTTTCTCGATCGTTTGATCGACAATTAGCCCCTTCGTCTCGTCCTCGACAACGCGCAGCCCATCGCCAGACACGTGAAGCACCGCCCGTACAGGCCTTCGTCGTGAGTTCTGAAAATTCAGCCGAGAATTACTCGATTGCCCGAATTGCCCTCTGACCTTTAGAACGCCCATTTATTTTCAGGCCGCTCGATGTCAATGTCGTCTCCCTTTACGTGTAAGCCGTGCTAAATATAGTCAAGGCGAAAGATTTGGAGAATGCGACGCGCCCTACTCTCGCGAGGCTCCCCAAACTTTCTACAGAGCTTCTTGAGCGTTTAAAATGGGATGAACTTCGTGAAGAGATTATGTTGGATGCTTTCTCAAAATTATCCACGCTGATATCCATTTAGTAAAGAATGAATCGAAAATTAAATTAACCGTACAGGCGGAACATACAATCGTGTGTGAAATATTAATTAGTAGTATGAAAATTTAATCTTTAACTAATACAAAGAGAACATGTTAATTAAAAAATATCTCCATTAATTACTTACTCGGAGAACTTTAAGAGCTTCCTCGCAGACTCCCATACCCCTCGATTCGAACACCTCCACACATCCCAGGTACTGTAAAAATATCGATTGCATTATTTATTTATTCATTCGAGTATTAAACAGGTCAATAGCCTTCGCGCAAGCCCTAAGAGGATCAACCTTTGACATTAAGGTTGACGCCAAAAGAAGCAATGGACCATTTATCCGGACAATGTGCTTTACGGTAATAACGTTAATTTTTAAATTTATCAGTCCTTTTTATCTCAAATGAAGAAAACGGCTAACTTCAACGGTGACGTTGACTTCGACATGTCAATGGTTCTAATCGTCTTAATGATTTCGGCATACACAATCCGGCCGGACTGTCAGTAATTTGCATACCTACTTAGCGGGTCATTAAACTTTAGCACTCACCTTGACATGAAATGCGCACGTAGCCGAACGTACTGCGCTCTCATCAGCCTGCCACTGATGAGGTTTACTAGACTCGGGCACGTGAGGGTCTTTCCGCCGACGGAAGCTATCCCGGAAGCTCCGTCGAAGCCGATCCATCCTCTTGCCCGGCGACCTCTCTCGCTTCTGCAACATTGTCAAGGAAAAAAGCGCGATTTATTTCCTGTAATTCGAGTGATAGTTGAAGCGGCATTAACGAACGTCTCTCCCTCGAGAGTGACGAGGGATCAACCACCCATGACTGTCTAAACGGAGGGTCGGCTGAGCACGTCAACCCTCGTGAGACGTAAGATGGAAATTACAAAATTCAATCGCACAATACCGCAATTTAATAACGGAACTGCCGGGAGAAACGAGAAAGAGATTATTACCGTCAAAATATGAAACTTTCGCGATGTTCTAATTATGAAAATGGAAGAAAGCCCAATGGGAGTATAGAGGACGTGCGCTGAAGATCCATCAGATTATTTCATCAGTTCATAGCCGAGCAAATATAAAAAGAGATTAACGTATCGTTAATTTAATCTCGTGTCCTTTTAACAATTATACGTTAGTAACATCAACGTTTCCTTCATCATCTTTGCGTTTGATCGATTCAGCATAACCGTCTTGTGCGAAAATCAACCGTAAAAGAAAACCGTGATAAATAAGATCACTGAGAGATTGCTCTAAAAGAACATAAAGTGAAGCTTTAATCGTAAACGTTGAGAGCTTCGAGGCGAATAATTCGCGTTAACTACATTGTTCTCTCCAATCACTGGAAATCAATAGAGGTCAAGCCAACGGAGAGATCTCAAACCGGGAATCAGAGCAGCGATCGTGGAAAGACTGAAAGGACATTTCTGTCCGTCGCAATTGTCTTTTGATAGAGGCTCAACATCGACGGGGTAATCAACCGTGTCGGAACCGCGAGCGAATTCTCAAAGGACGTGGAGCGCGGATCCCGCGGCCGTAAGATCCCCGGGTCGTTAAGACCTTGAGAACATGTCCGAAGCGACCAGTGTCTAGCAGCCGTTGCGTCGAGTCGCCCTGTCTCGACAAAGCCCTGTGATCGAATCTTGAAGCCCGTTCCCAAAGAATCTTTTATATCGGAACCCTCCTCCGGTTCTCCCCTAATGCCGACCGCGGATCTACCCTTCGAATCGCTACCCCTGAGAGAGACGGATCGAGTGCGGAGACACGTTAAGCAGACCTTTTCCGTCGGTTCTCTCGCCCCTCCGTTATTAACGTTTCCGTCCGTCATACTCTTCGTCCGACTCGCGAGATTACCTTCGATCAGCGTCGTGTCACCTGTCGTTGCGCACCATCCAAGCTCTTTCATATCGAGCGCTAAATACCCGTGTTATTGTAATTATCGGCAACATGTCGATAGAAAGGAGGAGCGCTTGTCTCAAGCTCGCCAAACAATTCAAGCTGTAAAACGTCGCGCTCCGTATTTCTGGTATCGCTCCCCGTACATATTTTACGCAATTGGGCTATACAGTTAGAATTCCACGAGTGACATAATCGCGCTACGTGCATATGTGTTTTGAATACACAGTGAACGCACAGATATTCATCAAGTGCAGGAGCACGCGCGTGTTACAATCGTTAGAGTCAAGCATAATTAGTACTCTATAGAATTGGTTTGCGAGCCGATCAGATAAATCGTGATAATAAACCTCAGTAACAAACTCGCGCGCACGCGTGTGTGCATGCGCGTGTATTAGGTCGCAATTAAGCTAACATAAATTTATAGACACGCATCAGTTTCCACGAATCGTCCACGTTATAATTTCATCTGGATGATATTCGCGGAATATCACGAGAGACGCTTAGTAAACAATTTTAATGCCGTTGTCGAATGCGACGTTATTAAATACAAATATGTCCACACAACTCACCGGACTTATCGTCTCATATCATAGGAGATAAATCATGATGTATAACAGAACATACAGTTACGAGATTCACAGAAGATATTTGCGGAAATAATTTCCTAGTGTATATACCTAAAATATAAAGTGCAAATAAAACAAATCACTAAAGAGACTAAAGTCCGGTTGAACCAACGTTATTTTGGCTTTAAGCGAAACTTAAACATATATCTATCTTTATCTTTCTTTCTAAGTAAATAAAGACAAACACATATTTAAGTCTCGCTTAAAGCTAAAATAACGTTGGTGCAATCGAGTTGCCTTAATGCTGCCGTGCTGTCACTGGAGAATTTTTTAAGATGTACAAAAGTCCAAAAAATAATTCTCCTAACGAATAAAGTTAGCTTATGAAATCAATTTTTACAGAATTTACGATCATATAGCGTACTCAATCTGCTCAATAAAAAACATTGCGGTGAGTGAGTATATAAATATCGCAGTAAATATCTCGGATTTCTCGTGAGGTATTTCAGAAGAAAGTTCGAGGATGTAAATCTATTTTTCGAAGCATGATATCATCCGCTAGGAGCGCGTTTTAGCAGTAGCTAAAGGCGATTACGCTCGCACGTACATTACTCAACATATGTGCAAACTGTTAGAAGCTCGAAAATTTCTTCCACCGTCGATCATCTAACGAAGTGCTACCCGGAGAGATACATATTTGCCTATCTCTTCGGAATTCCTGGGTTCTCACGTGGCCTCGACGATAGCCCGGCTAAGCCACTGACCGTATTTTACCCTGAAAATACGAGAGCACGTTGACCTAACTTCGCGTAATGCTCGCGCGATACTCGCGCGCTCGCACCAAATAATGGATATCTGCGAAATCATCTGAATGCGTCCCCCAAGACCGCATCTCCCCATAAATAACACAGTTTATATATGACGTGGGAACCGCTCTTGTGGCGGGCGCGTTTTAGATTCGTTCCATTTAAATTTCCAGTCGGTCTTCGTGCCGAGTACATCGTATCTGTACGGACATATAAACATATGGTGGTACATGCGAATAGCATTTTAAATTTCGAGCAGAATTCAAAGCCGCTTTTCCTCGTGACGAGAACGAATATAGGCGAACGAACATCGATCCGTCAGTATGCGTAGTGGAGGAATTAAAATGGCAATCGGGACGCAATAAAGCGCGGTAATAGCTATTATTTTAGAATCGAGGCCAGTCGCGCGCGGGCATCTTCGGTAAAGGGTACGATTTGCCCGTAAAAGTCACTTTCACCTCGGACGATCGCGTATTACGACCGTGCAAACCTCCGTCGGCCAATCGAAGCAGAAGTGAAAAGATTCAAGCGCGAAGCAAGGTAACCGGCTCAAGGCCGATCGAAGGGAAGCTTGGGCGTTTTGTTATGTCGAGTGGGAAACTCGCACAGCAAAGCTTTATCCCACTTTTTCCTTTATCATCTCCCTTTTCATTAATGAAGGAGACACGACGTAGCTCGAGGACAATGCTCGAGAAAAATATACGACTTCGGAATACGCGTAAACGATTTGCAGAAAATTGCCGAGTAACAATATAAGCGTAGTCGAGTAAACTTAGGCAGTTTCGCAACGAGGATATATATCCTACTTCTGAATAGAGAAAATCACCGGCAATCACTCTTCCTCGCAAAATTTATCGCATAATGATAGTAATCTTTACAAACTACACGTATATTGCGAATTTTGATAAAAAAAAAACCCACTCGAAATTTTTATCTTCCTTTCCATCTCAATGTTGCATTTGATACTTACTTTGATACTCTGAAGCCTTTCAACCTTTTTTTATTTTAGTTAACCTAACAAATAAGACATCGGCTTTTATTAAATATATACTGATCCTTGAGAAGTTAGAGAAAGTTCAGGTTGAAAATGGGGTTAAAATTGCGACTTAGCACCACCTATCTCTATTCATATTATTCGAATATCTCATATATTTGCATATTCTGTTGAGACCATCTGAATATATCAATGCACGTCGCGTGCGCGAAACGATGCAAGAGCTTGAACGATGGGATCGCGAAAGTAATGACTCACTGGGTCCTTAATGAAGCGGTTATCGGCGCATCGATCGAATCGAAAGCGCTTTCGCATTAAGGGCTCCATCGGAGTTACGCCGAACCATCAAGGACAACGATGGGTTTGCGATCGCGTCTCACGTATTCCGCCGTGAAGGGCCATCGAGGGAACATACCCTATTATCGCGCACGAGTAGTCGCATCCCGGCACTTCTTTTTTTTCGTTTTCTTTTTCACGCGGCGGCGCTTCTCCGTGGAAACGATCGCATCTGCGACCACGTGCGCGATTAGAATAATACAGTACAATGAAAATAATCGCGGGCCCCCTGCGCGACGGAACGATAACTCGCCGACTTGGGCTGTCGCGCAACGACCGACTAATGGGTAAAACGTGCGAAAGTAAGCGCACTCGACGCAATCGGATTAGCCGAGCTGTTTACTTAGCGCGTTAATAGGCTTACCGATGCACTAGAGTAGAACGGTTGCATGCCCGGCGCGCACCATGCCGCTCTCCATTCATCAGTGCATGTGTCGCCTCTCGTACGAGCATACTCCCGGTGTCTTTATCAAGCGAGTGACAACCGGCAGATCGTGCGCCCGACGAGTACATACGACCGTCCACCTAAGTGCTGAACAGCTTTGATCAGCCAAATTAGTCCGTCGCCGCAACACTCCGCACAGATTTAATTTGACCGTGCAGCGACGGATGTAACTGCTTTTTAATTGGCACGAGAAGAGCGGCATGCGTCTTTTCCCCGTTAATTCTCGCTCCTCGGACGCTCAGATCGCGAGAGACGCAGTGAGTCGACACAAAATTTACGGAACGTGTTCCGTAAATAAGAATTTCAAGAACCTACACACACGAATCTTACAGTCTTGATCTAAATGTATTGTCACGATTTGTGTGTTGGCAATCTATCCCGAGCACGAGAGGAATGCCATGCACGTGACTGTGACAAATTATTCATTTAATAACGCCGAAGAAGCTATCGACCCAAATTGTTCAGCCGCTGTGCGAAGGCACAGTAATTAGGATGCAAATCCGTACAGCGCTCGATTAAATTCGCTCGACGATGCCGACGAAGTTGAAAGTAAAGGCACGAGCACGCGTCAAGACACTCGCCTTCAAATTGTGCCGCCGCAACGGTACTTACATCGCTGTGACGTTATAAATCTATTGATCGGACTTCTTTTTATTACTCGTGGG